CCAAGAGCAACTAACATTTTTATTTCAATATTATGATATTTGATTAGGATTATATATGTACATATATATATATATATACATATATATATATATATATATATATATATATATATATATATATATATATATATATATATATATATATATATATATATAAAATGAAATAGTATTTATTCAAATAAAAAACATACACACACGTTTCGCAGAAAAAGCATTAAAGTATTTAATCTAGCTCTGCTAGAATAATAAAATCAGTAATCAAAGTACATAACTTTAATCATTGAAATCTATTTACAACAGTTTCGCCGTGCATGCCTTTTGAAAGTTTGTTTAAACCTAACTGATAACTTGTTTCAGTTACAAGCACGCCTCTAGATTTTTATAAGTTAGTTGGATTCTATACCTTGTACTATATTCATGCAAGAAAACGGTTGCTCGCATGATTATGTTGACCTGAAGATCATCAGCACTCCATACGCCAACTTCTTCACCTTACTATAGCATCTTGCAAGCAGTGTTTCTTCCAGACTTTTTTCTCTGGGGGGGGGGGGTCAACGTTTTTCGGGGGGGGGGGGCGGACACTATGTATGTTTATTATATAAAATCCATCTCGTTAGGGGGGGGGGGGGGGGGGCGGTAGACTTTCTTCAGCGGGGGGAGGGGGGGGGGGCAGATGCCTGGAAGTAACTCTGCTTGCAAGACTGTTCCATGCATCGCATAGTAGGGCCTCAACTCGCAGCATTTCTTTTAGAGCTGTCCAGTTGTACAGTGAAACGTACATGTTTTACTCGTACTCCAAATCATCTAGCTTACCCTTGAGATCTGTGAACTTAATACTTCACAAATGTTTGATTTTCAAATCTAACAATTTAATTTGAAGCGAGCCAGCATCAATTCCAAATAGTTCAAAGTTAATCTCATTTGTTTTTGTGTTGAGAGAATCTACTATGACTATGAACGTCAAAGTACTTGCATTTCTTTTGAATTGTTCAAATATCTCAGTGAACCCATCCTTCATTTTGTTTATAATATTGCTGAAGTGATTCATGTTAATAGTAGCGATGGTTTTATAATGATATTTTTTTCAGATTTTTCGAAATAAAGAAATTTACTGCTCTCCGGGTCTTTAACAAAATTAAGTAATTCTTTAAGCAAGGCATAGGCTGGGTTTTCCTTTCCATGCAGTTTTAGATTTAGCTCGTTTAGTTTCTTTGTGATCTCCACCATGAATGTGAATGTTGCAATTTGGGATAGACAAGTTAAAAGGAAGTACATTGAAATATGGTGTAACTAAATATTCTAATAGAATAGCGAGTGTTTATTGTTTATGTTTATTATTTTATCGTTCATTACCGAGTGTTGCAGAGCAATATTTTTATGAGTTTTGAAAATAAAATAAAACAATTATTAGGCTAATATTTGTGCATGGAGCTGAAGAGCCGCAACTCGACATCAAAAGAGCTGCATGCTGCGAGGTTGGCGACCCCTAGCCTAACCTAACATAATAACATTAGATCTAAGACCTCAAATTCTAACTAAATAAATAGTTGAAATAGGTAACCTAGACTCTATATTGTTACTATCTGACTATTAGGTGATAAATTCATTCTGAACAGCTATAGGGTAGGCATATAGCCTATATCAGTATATCTAATCTTGATGGAAATTGAAGCCTTTCCCTACAATCATACTACATAATATATTATATAATCTAGATTACACTAGATTATGACTAGATCTAGAGGATTCTAGGTCGATCTAGCTAGGGCCAAGATCTTCTTCTTACTACTACTAGATCTAGAGGTCTAGTTCTAGTTCTAGATCTAGATCTAGATTCCCTCATGGCTCATTAAGTAAGTAGTCTACTAACTAGTAGTAGATAGTAGATATAACATTCTCTTTTTAAGTATTTTTTTATAACACACTCTGATTTCAAAATAATTAAAATACTACCAATCTACCAAGTAGATTAGATCTAGATCTACTTGCCACATTTATATTCTTAAAAACTAGACTTAGTTTTCTCTATTTTAACACTGCTACCATCTAGATATTTCCTGTGCTCTACTTTGTTGGACTGTGTATTGTCGCCATCTTGATATCTTGAAATGAAAAGTGATATTCGGGGATTCCCGATTTGACAATGTTATCGAGTTCACTAAAAATAGAGGGATCGATATATTTCTTGATAGTAGCCTGACATGGGGTCATGGAACTCAAAATTACTGTTCTCTCTTGTTATGTTACAGCTGTATGCGACAATGCATTATTTATAAATAGCCGAATTAGTGGTCCCTTAGCACCTTTCAAATAGGCTATAGAATCTAGATCTAGATCTAAATCTAAAGAAAAAAAAGATTTTCTAATATAGATCTATTTAATAGGCCTGCACTTATTTAATTGATTATTGATTTAAGCGCTGGTCGCTCATGAAATTTCAGAAAGAAAATATAAAATTAATCATCACAAATTTAACTATTACTCGTTACATATTACATAGAGTAAATAAAATGTGTTGAAGGCATATTTATATTTAGAGATCTGTCTACTCATCCCGAACATTTTATAATATTAACTATTCTTTACAGTGGTATACATAGTAGTGCTTTATTATGTTTAAAAATCAATATTTTGTTTTTAAGTATATAAACAAAAGTTTTGTTTTAATAAATGTTTTCCAAAAATATTTTACCAAAAGGTTTCTAACATTTTTGTTTATTAAACATAATTCACCTCGTCGCATCTACCAGCTGACGTCACTCACACATCACATCTAACTGACGTCACTCACACATCACATATGTCATCTAACATAACACCTGACATAAGTGTTAGCCAACATGATTCAAATTTATATAGTAAATATATACTTTTAACAGTCTCCGCCCCCACCCCCCCAGGAAGAAAGTCTACCGCCCCCTAGAAAATTTCAAGTGCCCCCCCCCCCCCACCCCCGGAGAAAACAGTCTCGAAGAAACACTGGTCACATATACCACCCTATGGCTCTGAGAGATCACACATATTTATCAACATAATATTACAAAATCATTAAACCACCACATCGCATGTACTACGTGTGCACTAAAATTTGCAAGTTATACTAATGCAAAACACAAGATTGACTCATTTTAATGTATTGTTACATCCGTATTATCTAGAAGATCAATGATCAATCTATCGTCTAATGACAAGATGTGATTGATTTCTTAATTTTATTTGTGTCGCTCCAATATATTTCTCATTCAAAATGTGTTGCGGGTTTTGCTTTCCACTATAGTGCCTAGGTCACATAGACAGCTGAACCCTACTACACCTGCCATAAGTACCGCCATATTTGACAGGGTAACTTTAATCGGAAAATAAATGATCTAAATAGTCATTGCGGTTTTTACCTGTAGCTATACCCCACTGTGAGAGCTAGGGGTAATGTCAGGGTTATAATTTAGGTCAAGATTTTAATTAAGGTCAGGTTTATAATTAAGGTCGGGGTTCAGTAGGCCCAGAGGCGTAGCGACCCTTCCCGGCGCCCGGGGACAAACTTTTCGATGTGCACCCCCCCCCCCTCTCAAGATATCGATTTGCACCCCCCCCCCCCCCCTTCAAACTTTCGATTTCCACCCCCCTTAACCTTTCAATTTATTTTTCCAACCCATTTTGGCGCCCCCTAAGGTCGGCGCCCGGGGACATATGTCCCCCCGCTCCGCCCCACCCCCCCTTGCTACTCTACTGAGTAGGCCTATTGCGACAGGGATACGATTATGAATTATTCTGAATGTGTTGTGTATATTCTACATTATCCAAATTTCTCACCATTTTATAGCATGCAGCTTCTCTTTATTTGTATTATAATTATTCCCAAGCTAACTAACGTGGGGAAGGGGGTACGTACCATGGTGATATGGCAGTCTGGGAATGATCGGGTATGACTGACATTGGTCATTGTCCTAGAGCATTGATAACAAACAGTACAACAGACGACGCTAGATAAACAGTCACAAACAGTCCAACAGACGACGCTAGATAAACAGTCACAAACAGACCAACAGACGACGCTAGATAAACAGTCACAAACAGACGACGCTAGATAAACAGTCACAAACAGTACAACAGACGACGCTAGATAAACAGTCACAAACAGACCAACAGACGACGCTAGATAAACAGTCACAAACAGTACAACAGACGACGCTAGATAAACAGTCACAAACAGTACAACAGACGACGCTAGATAAACAGTCACAAACAGTACAACAGACGACGCTAGATAAACAGTCACAAACAGACCAACAGACGACGCTAGATAAACAGTCACAAACAGTACAACAGACGACGCTAGATAAACAGTCACAAACAGTACAACAGACGACGCTAGATAAACAGTCACAAACAGACCAACAGACGACGCTAGATAAACAGTCACAAACAATACAACAGACGACGCTAGATAAACAGTCACAAACAGTACAACAGACGACGCTAGATAAACAATCACAAACAGTACAACAGACGACGCTAGATAAACAGTCACAAACAAACCAACAAATGTAAGAGAACTTGCGGTTATTATTTGATAAAATAATGAATAAATTCAACATTATAAAAGACTTGACGACTTATTCCACTTTGCTCCTTATGGAACATAGGGCCTCCACCATTTCCTTCCATTTCATCCGATCCCCGGCTATTAATTTCGCCATCTCCCAAGACATCCCTGTTGGCTACAGTTCTCCGAAAAAAATCCGCCGCAAGGTTTGTCTTGGGCGCCTTCTCTACAAAACATTATAAATGGGCATATACAAATTATAATATATAATTCAAAATATACAAATCACATAAAAAGATATATATTTACTGTGTTTTTATTTGATAATTGAATTAAAAAGTTAGAGTACCAAGTAAAGACAATAACTATTTTGCATAGCTGTTTATTATCTGATTAAGGAAGATAGCTGTCTTTACAATGGCATAGCAATGTCGTGGAGTTTTTCTTGGCTTAATAGATAACTATGAAATTTTCTAGAAGTCGAGCCCTAACATTAACTCGACAGTCGTATCTTAAACGCTGTTTGTATTACACTCTTATCATTCCGCACCGGCCTACAGTTTGTGTAGACCACATCCATGCAAAGGTACGAGCTAGTAAGTGTATCATTCCGCCCGTCAATATAATGTATAGACAGATGGATACTGTTACCGTGGAGAAAGCAGATGTAGTAAAACTTTGATCGATAAATGTTCCTCTTTTGTTAACTATCATTAGAGTGAGTATCAGTTCGGCTGTACATGTAACATATATGGCACCATTTTATACCTACCGCAACTTGGGAAGAAATGTTTTAAACTGTTTATATTTTAATTATATAGTATTTTGATTTATGACAGAAAAAAATTTCAAAATGTCCACATGAGTGTATGTATTTTAAGTTTAAATCATTGTTTGCATTAATGGTAGCCAAACAATTTCACAAGTGATCTTATTAGGTTCAAGAAAATTATACTCAATACAAAAAGGCACTGTTTGGAAGCAGCAGAGCGTGACAGGCGTGGCATCAACTTGAGGTAGATGTCGACACGTCGACATTGAAGACAACTGACCAGATATTTCTGTAAGCTCCAGTCATCCAGATCAATCTCCGCGTTGTTGTCAATTAGTTTTCTCACGACCTCATCGTGTCCATAAAGAGCAGCCAGATGAAAAGCTGTAGAGCCTCGCTCTTGCTTCAGGTTTAAATCAGCTCCTGCTTCAATTAGAGCGCCAATGTTGTCCACGTTCCCAAACACCGCAGCAAAGTGTAATGCCGTAGTCTGGTCATTAGAAACCATGTTGACGTCAGCGCCATGCTGGATGAGTAATTTCAAAATGTCAACATTGTGTTTTTGAGCTGCATGCATCAGAGGCGTGGTCCCGAAATCATCAACAGTGTTAACATCAAGATCAGCATGAAGCAGATACTTTACTGCATCCAAATGTCCCGCTGATGACGCAAAGAATAACGCGTTCTTTCCTTGTATTGATTCCTGTCTGATGTCTGCCCCACCGCTGACTAGAACCTCCATGTTTGTGACGTCACCACGAGATGCGGCATACGTGAACGCTGAGACGCTGCGGTCATCTTTCACGTCAACATCTGCGCCACGAGCCAACAGCAACTGCATCACCTCCGTACTTCCGGTTCTAGCCGCCTCCATCAGGGCGGTGCGACCTTGAGAGTCCGTCTGGTTGACGTCTGCCCCATCGTCCAACAAGGTTCTGACCAGCTCCACGTTATCGGCAGCAGCAGCCAGCAGCAAGGCGCTAGGCGCGGGTTCCAGACCTGCTTGCACTGCAGCCATACCAGCCAAAGGTAAATGGTGACAACGTCGATTCAATCGATATAAGCTGTCTAGTTAGTGTTACTGTTAAGATTTAGAATAGAATTCGTCACAGTATGAACTAGAGAAATCCCGTGTATTAGACGGTATACAACACATTCTACATCCCCTTATACAACACAATTCATAGTTATATTACTGTAAATACAATAATGTCAGCAAATTCTATAATCTCTGGTCATCCTATCAAGACATTTACATAGATGTATGGGAAAAAGGTGTTTTAATTTTCAACTTGTGTGAATGGTGAGTGGTGTTCGTGGTTTTAAGGGTGCATGTTGTACAAGCTTGTGAGACTCACCACGAAGGAAACCGTAAGTTGAGCTTGAAATAGAACTGCGTGAAAGGGAGACAACGAATCGTATCACACTGATAAGTGGCTACACATACTAGCGCAAGGAACAAGATAGCTTACAAGTGAAGCAACTTAAGTTTATTAGAACTAGCTGATACAATCAACTAAAAAAAAATACGCTTTGTTTACTCCAACCTCGGATCAAACCAGTCTGATTATAAGTCTACAAACACAGTGGTGGAGTTGTATTTCTCTTTTTTTTTTATCATGTAGTGGGGAACCCTATTTGAAATATAATGAAACGAGCCGACCCGTGGCGTATTATACGCCGCTATTTAGTTGTTTTATTTTCTACTTTTCAGTAATTCATAATTTGTGAATTCAACAGTACCAATGCTGCCACTGAAAACATTTGCTTTCAAACACTACCCCCCCCCTTCCCCCAACACCTACCCTATACCCCCCCACCACCACCCCCCCCCCCCCCCGTGAAGGCAGCCTCCTCTTAATTACCTCCTACAAATTTAAAATCGGTTCAAACTAAATTATCTGCCCCTAATGGCCGTCACTAAACCCGACTCTACGAATGTAAATATTTAGAGTGAACCATCGCTCACCAGACCATGTGGGGGGTGGGGGTGGTAGTGATAGAGAGGAAGAGAGGGGACTGTAAGGGGCGCGCTTGCAGCTTGTTTTCTAACGGCTCCCAAAAGAAAATTATATATATAGATAATGACATTCTTAAGAGTGAAAGATAATCTGGTGCCAACACAGTTATATGTGAACGTGTCGTATTTTGATTTTCATTCCATACAGCTTAGAGATGCAGAATCGAACCAAACATTGGATACATTACCAAATATAATCGCTACATAATCTAATATACACTACCAAGTATAATAGCTACATACTATAATATACTAGCTAAAATAAACCGAATAATGGCAATACTACCACATATATAGGCTAAATACACCATATATATATATATATATATATATATATATATATATATACATATATATATATATATATATATATATATATATATATATATATATATATATATATATATATATATATATTAACAGGACACTAATAACACAAAATAAATTCTAGATTCTAGTAACACAAAAACACATATAATTATTAGAACTAGAACTAGATCTAGGTCTAGTTATCAGTTATCTAGGTCTAGTCTACACTTGACTTTATATTTGAAAATACACACCGGACATAGATCTAGTAATTCACATAAGTTAGATATATTTTTATAAACATACAAACAAAGTCATTGGTTAAAAGGAAACCACTTAAACAATCAATACAAACATATTCGCCAAACAAAAACACACATTTATACAAACTTTGACGATCCATAATATTCACATCCTCAACACTTACTCCAAATATAAGGACCTCTCCATCTTTCACCAAGCAGCACCGAGTGCCATCTCTGTGGTGCTCACACACTCTGGTGCGCACACACTCTGGTGCGCACACACTCTGGTGCGCACGCCATCCTTGTTAAACAGGAATTATCCACCAGGATGACCTGAGACATATTTTTGCTTTCAGGTTACATTTGAAGTCTACACTGATAACATGGTTTGTTCTGTACAAGTCATTAGCCTCCATTGGATTGGCCAGATTGTAATGGTAGATAGGGGCTGGAATGGCTACTTAGTAGCACCGGAGTTTCTTCTTGACGTTTCTTTGGGGTAGGGGTGGGGCGCGATCAACCCCACCCCCCCACATCGAACGAAATATAATTTATATAAAAAATATATACTTTTACAAGTGTCCTTCCCCCGGAAATTTTAGTCCGCCCCTCCCTAAGAAAAAAAACTAGAAGAAACACTGAGTAGTACCGACTTTTCGGTTACACACACAAACACACACACATATATACATATATACATATATATATATATATATATATATGTATATATATATATATATATATATATATATATATATATATATATATATATATATATATATATATATATATATATATATATATATCGTATGTAACGTGATTTTATACATTTCATAAAACCAGTTACTTAGAAAATCGATCATGCCTTAACGTTGCTCTAATTACCTACACATTGTCTAGAAATTAATTGTATAATCAATCGGAACTGTAATTTACTTTGTGTAACGACTTCATTAACTTGACTCCCCACGCTGTCGACCTATCAAGTTTAATTAAATATAATTAGGGTTTCAATGTCTTACTTAGCATTTAAAGTGGCGATAATTACTCTAAAATTACATTGCAAAGATGAAAATTATTCATCATTATTTAAAATTTTTTTTACAATTATCCAAATATTTGAAGAAGTATTTCTACTTTCTCGAAATCAGAACGAATTGTTCCACAAATATAATAAGCTACTTAAAACAGATAACGAGTATAAAATACTAATGGAATAACCTTGGAAGCGAATTTTATATTTACTGACCGATTACTAGCTAGTTTAAAAAAAAGGCATTATTTAAAACTAAGACCTATTTCTGTGTAAACGAACATGGCTATAGCCAACGTTACGTCTACTGCAGTAGGTGGCTTGACACAGTCTAGTGTCGTTGGTGTCCTGCCACCATTGGTGTTAGATGTCTTCATGGCTATCAACACCATCTGTTTTGAGACGGTGTCTCTAGCTGGTATCTGTGCTAACCTGGTCAACATCATGGTGTTCACCAAACAAGGGTTCAAGGACACGGTCAACATTACGCTAACAGCTTTAGCGGTCAGCGACATCGGGTCACTGGTCACGCTTCAGCTGTTTTTCATCTTCATTAACCCCTGGTTTCTTAAACTGGACGTAACCTTCATCCCTCTTGACGTGGTGACTATGGTCTCATTCTACCCCCATAACTACTTCATACGTGTGTGTGGGTTTATCACAGCTTTCGCCGCATTTGAGCGATGTTTATGTGTGGTAACGCCTTTAAAAGTTAAACAAATTATCACCAAAAACGTCGTCATCACTTTCAACATCAGCGTTTTCATCGTGACGTTTTTCAACATCTTCCACGTCTACTACATCTGTTACTTCGACTGGAAGTTATCAGCGAACGTAAACAAAACCTTGTTGACTTTGTCCTTCAGGAACAACAGAGAAGCAGTGTTCAGCGTGTCCTACTTCATCACCGATCTCTTCGTGCCTTACTTCACGTTCGCCGTCATCATCCTCAGCACTGCCGTCATCGCCGTGAAACTCCACATCCGCGCATGCTGGCGTGGCGACAACATCACCACTCAACTCAACTCCAACATCACCACCAAAGACAAGAAACTCATCCTCATGCTAACGACCGTGTCTGTCATATTCATCGTCTGCCTGATTCCCCAGTCTGCTATTCTGACCGCGGTCAGTTTGGTCAGGGGGTTAAGTTTGAAGGGCGCCTACTTTGACCTGGCTTTGCTCTGTTACGTCATATCCTATTACACGGAGACCATTAACTCCAGTGTCAACTTCCTGTTCTACTACAAGATGAGTTCCAAGTTCCAGAAAACTCTCAGAGATTTGTTCGATAGACAAGCCAAAGTCAAAACAAAACTACCGTACTGTTAGACCAATCTGTCGATTAAATCACACAATTTTTCGATAGACAAACCAAAGACAGAATTACATGACCATAATGTTAGACCAAACTGTCAATTACATCAGACATTTGTTCGATAGCCAAGCCAAAGACAGAAGAAAACTACTATAATAATAGACCAAGCTATAGATTACATCAGACAAATGTTCGATACACAAACAAAAAACATATTACCATAATGTTAGACTAAGCTATAGATTACATTAGACATTTGTTCGATACACAAACCAAAAGAATAACTAAACTTCAGACGTATTAGACTCACAATTAAATCAGACACGACTAACAATAAATATAAAACTAAACTACCATGTTATCACAATTCGTACAACACACCAGATAGAACTACTACCAAAAATGAACTATTAAGACGTAAGTCCATGTTTACAATCAACTGATTTTACCGGACCACTTAATTACTCTTAAATGGCAGCGTGTGTATGTTCAGAAAAAAACTAGTTTTAGTGATTTTACCTCAGCATAATTCAAGCCTTAGTAATTAGCAAATAATTATTTTATAATAACACAGTTTTAATTTTAATTGGCAATAAACCTATTTATTTCTTATCTTGAACGGTTGTTGGTAAAACATATCTCGCAAAAATACTAAACGAATATTTTTTGTTTACATTGCACAGTAGTAACAACAATGTCTGTTTTGTTTTTGGACAGACATAATATGACGAACATATATTTAAGCGTGGCCTATAATTACCAGTAAAACATGTTTTGATCTACTGGCTTCATCAATACATAACAACGTAGACGATGCAAACATTATTTACAGCAAAAGCGAGTTAAAAGAGAGGAGATGCAGATGTATAGTGACATGTAACGTTTATCACCAATTGTCAAACTCATGAAATTTTGGCTTTTTGTAAACATATCATAACCTAATTGTATCAAAACTGCACACTGATCGAAAATTAAAAGTAGTGTACTTAAACTTAATTAGTCCCACTATCTTCGTTGAGGTTCTCGTGCTGCCACTGCTGTTATATAAACACCAATCTCACTCTCTCTTGGTTGAACTTCCCCTTATAACCTAGCTATATGTACTCCAATTTCACTCTCTGTTCGTTGAAGTCCCCGTTGTAACCTAGCTATATGTACTCCAATTTCACTCTCTGTTCGTTGAAGTCCCCGTTGTAACCTAGCTATATGTACTCCAATTTCACTCTCTGTTCGTTGAAGTCCCCGTTGTAACCTAGCTATATGTACTCCAATTTCACTCTCTGTTCGTTGAAGTCCCCGTTGTAACCTAGTTATATGTACTCCAATTTCACTCTCTGTTCGTTGAAGTCCCCGTTGTAACCTAGCTATATGTACTCCAATTTCACTCTCTGTTCGTTGAAGTCCCCGTTGTAACCTAGCTATATGTACTCCAATTTCACTCTCTGTTCGTTGAAGTCCCCGTTGTAACCTAGTTATATGTACTCCAATTTCACTCTCTGTTCGTTGAAGTCCCCGTTGTAACCTAGCTATATGTACTCCAATTTCACTCTCTGTTCGTTGAAGTCCCCGTTGTAACCTAGCTATATGTACTCTAATCTCACTCTCTGTTCGTTGAAGTCCCCGTTGTAACCTAGCTATATGTACTCCAATTTCACTCTCTGTTCGTTGAAGTCCCCGTTGTAACCTAGCTATATGTACTCAAATTTCACTCTCTGTTCGTTGAAGTCCCCGTTGTAACCTAGCTATATGTACTCCAATTTCACTCTCTGTTCGTTGAAGTCCCCGTTGTAACCTAGCTATATGTACTCCAATTTCACTCTCTGTTCGTTGAAGTCCCCGTTGTAACCTAGCTATATGTACTCCAATTTCACTCTCTGTTCGTTGAAGTCCCCGTTGTAACCTAGCTATATGTATTCCAATTTCACTCTCTGTTCGTTGAAGTCCCCGTTGTAACCTAGCTATATGTACTCCAATTTCACTCTCTGTTCGTTGAAGTCCCCGTTGTAACCTAGCTATATGTACTCCAATTTCACTCTCTGTTCGTTGAAGTCCCCGTTGTAACCTAGCTATATGTACTCCAATCTCACTCTCTGTTCGTTGAAGTCCCCGTTGTAACCTAGCTATATGTACTCCAATCTCACTCTCTGTTCGTTGAAGTCCCCGTTGTAACCTAGCTATATGTACTCCAATCTCACTCTCTGTTCGTTGAAGTCCCCGTTGTAACCTAGCTATATGTACTCCAATTTCACTCTCTGTTCGTTGAAGTCCCCGTTGTAACCTAGCTATATGTACTCCAATCTCACTCTCTGTTCGTTGAAGTCCCCGTTGTAACCTAGCTATATGTACTCCAATTTCACTCTCTGTTCGTTGAAGTCCCCGTTGTAACCTAGCTATATGTACTCCAATTTCACTCTCTGTTCGTTGAAGTCCCCGTTGTAACCAAGCCGCAACAGAGGACAAAATGTCGATTGTCTATCCTGGCCGCGAATCTCCAACCAGCTGATGAAAAAAAATTGTTCGAAATATTTTCAACAATATTCTAAAATGGCCTAAAACGAAGGAAAATGATTAATTTAAAATGTGTAGATCGACTAATGTATTTAATTACTTTTCGAACAATCTATCCATTTTACCACTTGCCTGTCGCCTTCTTAGACATGCAAGCAGTTAGTCTCTCCATCGGTACTTTACTAGTTAGCCACTACACATTTAAACCACTTCATCATTTAGCCACTCCACCACTTGCACATTGCAACACTTGCCTACTGCTGGCCACTGCTGGCCACTACACCACTTGGCCACCTCCACAGACTTGGCCAATTCCCCACTTGGCCTCTATACCACTTGGCCTCTACACCACTTGGCCACTCCACCACTTGGCCACTCCACCACTTGGCCACTTTACTTAAGTTTTCCCACCAATACAACATCAAACCTCCTTAAAAGACCCCCCGCCACCCTTAACACTCAACACCACTACACTAGATCTCAACCTAAACAACTCCACCCCTCAAAACCATCCCCACCCCCTCCCCACACCATCAATCTCAACTCACATGACAATCTCCGCCCCTCCGCCCCTCAACACCACCCCCACCCCCTCCCCACACCATCGATCTCAACTCACATGACAATCTCCGCGTACTTGATAGCTCCATCCTGATTGATGTCACAGTCTATAAACGCCTTATGTAGCTCCACCCGTGAGATTTTTTGGTCCTTGTTGTAGTCAATGGCGGCGAAATCCACCGAGGCTCGAGTTATCTGCTCCAAATTCCGACCAAACGCGTTGGACCGGAAATTTACGAAGTCTTTTAAGTTTAAATAGTTCGGGCGGACGGTCGGAGCAAGGTGCGACTGTTGAAGAAAGAGATATATTTTAAAGATACACGTTGTGTGGGACGTTAGTAAAAGACTTTTTATGCATCCGAACCTAGCTAGCCCTATACATTGTCACAAAATCATAAAAAAACCTCTTAAAATTAAATCAGTATGTGTGGTACTTAAACAATGGAGGACGGAGTGGTCTAGCGGTAGAAAGCTAGCCTGCTAACCCATAAGTCTCGAGTTTGAATCTGGGTTCAAGACAGTAGACCTCCCCTGAGTCCACCCAACTCTGTTGGGTACCTAACTCACGTTAGGGAAAGTAAAGGCGGCAGGGCGTAGTGCTGACCACATTATCTCTTCATATGCCGAGGTCACAGAAACAAGTGGACTCTACTTCACTTGCCCCATAGACCGTAACACATTCTCTTGTCACACATTGTCACGAAAATCAGAACGTCCATCACCTAAACCCTTAGAACGTGACGTTCTTCGTGCATTGATGATGATGGCACTTTAAAAAACACGGTTGTTACAAAAGTCGGCGCAATAATCCTAATCCAGTTTCTTCTCTACCATTATAAAAGTGATAAAAAATTGAACTGTAAAATATGTTTCTTCTTCTTCTGCGTATTTTAATTGAGTTAACGATGGATGATTTAAACAACAAGCCCAACTTCGTGTATGAACTGGACTGTGGTCTCGAGATCAGCAGGTGCCCCATATAGTTTTTTTTGAGTGGGGTGTATAGGGCCTAAAGGAGTAACCACTGACCATGTAAAGGTGTAACCACTGACTAAAGGAGTAACCACTGACCATGTAAAGGTGTAACCACTGACTAAAGGTGTAATCACTGACCATGTAAAGGTGTAACCACTGACCATGTAAAGGTGTAACCACTGACTAAAGCTTTAACCACTGACCATGTAAAGTTGTAACCACTGACTAAAGGTGTAACACTGACCAAGTAAAGGTGTAACCACTGACCATGTAAAGATGTAACCACTGACTATGTAAAGGTGTAACCACTGACTAAAGATGTAACCACTGACCATGTAAAGGTGTAACCACTGACTAAAGATGTAACCACTGACTAAAGATGTAACCACTGACCACGTAAAGATGTAACCACTGACTAAAGATGTAACCACTGACTAAAGATGTAACCACTGACTAAAGATGTAACCACTGACCACGTAAAGATGTAACCACTGACTAAAGATGTAACCACTGACTAAAGATGTAACCACTGACTAAAGATGTAACCACTGACTAAAGATGTAACCACTGACTAAAGATGTAACCACTGACTAAAGATGTAACCACTGACTAAAGATGTAACCACTGACTAAAGATGTAACCACTGACTAAAGATGTAACCACTGACTAAAGATGTAACCACTGACTAAAGCTGTAACCACTGACTAAAGATGTAACCACTGACTAAAGATGTAACCACTGACTAAAGCTGTAACCACTGACTAAAGATGTAACCACTGACTAAAGATGTAACCACTGACTAAAGATGTAACCACTGACTAAAGATGTAACCACTGACTAAAGATGTAACCACTGACTAAAGATGTAACCACTGACTAAAGATGTAACCACTGACTAAAGATGTAACCACTGACTAAAGATGTAACCACTGACTAAAGGTGTAACCTCTGACTAAAGCTGTAACCACTGA